GCACAATTTTAGGCCGGCGATTGCTGCCTCATACTCGGCTTCATTGTTCGAGGCCTTAAAAGAAAACTTTAGTGCATACTCAAAGGATTTGCCTTCGGGAGAAGTTATCACTACCCCTGCCCCCGAACCGTTTTCGGTGGAAGATCCATCCGTAAACACGGTCCAGACTTTCTTTTCACTGTCTAGCGCTTCTTGGTATGAGCATTCGGCCATGAAATCCGCTAGAGCTTGAGCCTTAATGGCAGCCCTCAGACGGTAGCTGATGCTGAATTCGGTGAGCTCAAAAGCCCACTTGGCTAGCCTACCAGATTTTTCAACCTTGCCGAGAACTTTTTCCAACGGTTGATCAGTTAAGACCACTATCTGATGGCAATCAAAATAGGGCCTCAGCTTCCGAGCAGCCACTACTACCGCGAAAGCAACTTTCTCGAGTAGAGGATAGCGAGTCTCGGCATCCGTCAGTGTATGACTGACGAAATAGATCGGTTGCTGACTCTTACTCTCTTCCTTCAGCAATACTGCGCTGATGGTGGCTGGGCTAACGGCCACATATAGGTATAAAGTTTCTCCTTCAGCTGGGCTAGCCAGCGTTGGGAGTTGAGCCAGATGCTCCCGAAGCTGTTTAAAGGCGTCTTTTTGCTCTTCCTCCCAAACGAGCTCTTTTGTTTTTGGGAGTTTCAGGGCTTTGAAGAAAGGTAACCCCTTATCCGAAGCTCTGGAAATGAACCTCGAGAGGGCTGCCATTCTTCCGGTGAGCCGCTGAACATCCCGCTTCGTTTTCGGCTCAGGAAGGTCGAGCGCCGCTTTGACTTTAGAGGGATTGGAATCAATCCCCCTTTTGCTGACCATGAACCCAAGGAATTTCCCTGACTTCACGCCGAAGACACACTTCTTCGGATTCAGCTTCATTTGATGCTTTCTCCAGGTGGCGAAAGTTTCAGCCAGGTCCTTTACATGGTCCTCTAGTTTTTTGCTTTTGACGATCGAATCGTCAACATAGACTTCCATGTTTCGGCCCTTTTGATCGGCGAAAACTTGATCCACCAGCCTTTGATAGGTTGCCCCCGCATTTTTCAATCCGAAGGGCATCATTTTGTAATTGTACACCCCAGCGTTCGTGACGAATGTTGTCTTTGCTCGATCGTCGGGGTGCATAAAGATCTGATGATACCCCGAGAATGCGTCCATGAAACTAAGCAAGGCATGGCCACTTGTCGAATCGACTAGCTGATCGATCCTCGGCAAGGGATAGAAATCCTTTGGACAAGCCTTATTTAGGTCCGTGAAGTCAACGCACATCCTCCAGGTACCATTGGGCTTCTGAACCATCACCACATTTGCCAGCCATTCTGGATATTGGCAAGGTTCGATGAATCCTGCCTCCAATAATTTTTTGACCTCGGCTGCGATGTCTCGGTTCTTATTGGCGGAGTAATTCCGCTTCTTTTGCTTAACTGGTCGACACGTCGGGTCAACATTAAGCTTATGGGAGATGAGGTCTGAACTTATCCCGGGCATATCAGCTGCCGAGAAAGCAAACACATCTCTGTTGTCCCGAAGGAGCTGAATAAGTTCACAACGGGTGTTCGGATCAAGGTCCATCCCAATTGCTACACATTTCTCACCGTCTCCTTCGGCCAACTCAATTGTTTCAGTCTGTTGGTCCATGTCCATTGCCGATGGACTGGACTCTTCAGAATCTGGCCTGCTGCCAATGTCAGCAGGTGTCCCAGTCTTTTTGTTCTTCGGCTGGCTCTCTGAGTCTTGCGGCTCAGCTGAAGAGCTAGCCTTTTCCCTTTCGGGTTGTTTTTCTCTAGGCCCAGATCCTTGGGCCGAAGCACTTAGGCCTTTCGGCTTTTTTGTGCTTGGCTCTCTTTCTTTCTCCTCCTCATCCTTGTCGTCATCTGGGCGACTACTGGATGGCTTGAGGTAGTTGCACCTTCGGGCGTCCTTTTGGTTGCCCTGTATCCTTTCGGGGAAGCCGGCGTCTGAGACGTAAATCATCAGCTGATGATAAGTTGAGACGACCCCTTGGATCTCGTGAATTATGGGTCTCCCCAAAATCACGTTGTACACTGAAGGAGCGTCGATGACCAAAAATTCAATCATGACGTTCCGGGCTGCCTCATCGCAACCGATGGTGACAGGAAGTGTCACCTTCCCATCTGGATAAGTTGAAGCCCCATTGAACCCGGATACCGGGTAGGGTACCGGCGTAAGGTGCTTGGGCTTTAGCTTAATTTGATTGTAGGCCTTTCGGAACAGAATGTTTGCTCCACTGCCACCGTCAACAAGGACCTTACTGACGTCGTGGTTGGCCACCGTGGCGATGATCACCAACGGATCCTCGTGAGGGAACGTAATCCCCCGGCAGTCGGCGGCTGTGAACGTCATGTTCGACACCGGCGACTGGGGAGATTGAATGTCAGCGTTGTTCACCTGGTGAGTCAAAGTTCTAAGGTGGCGCTTGTGCTCCCTCCGAGAGTATATTCCTCCCGAGATAACATTGATCGGAGGGAATTTCCCCTCCGGCTTTTTACTGTTTTTCCGGGGGAAGTCGAGGTCCTGCCGAGGGTCCTTTGCTGACCTCTCGGATTCTTTTTTCTCGCGGTGATCCGCGATGTATTTTTTCAAGTATCCCTTCCGGACCATGTCCTCTATCTGGTCCTTCAGTTGGATACACTCCTCAGTGTTGTGGCCCGAAGACTCGTGGAACTCACACCACTGATTTTTATTTTTTCGCTGATACCACTCTGGGAGTGGTCTCGGCTTTCGGTAACTCTGCTCCTCCTTCGTCACACTGTAAATTTTGGCGCGTGGAAGAGAGAGCGGAGTGTAGGACTCGTATCTGCCTGTGTATGAGGCAAATCTTTCCTTCTTTGGGTCGTTGGCCAAAGATTGCTCCGGGGCCTTTGACTTTCCCTTTGCCTTATGGCCTTGGCCTTCAGACAAGGGTATTTGCCTCTGTTTCCCTCCCCCGAATTGAGGTTGGGTTTTCGCTTTGTTCCATTCTTCGGCTCGGATGAACTTATCCGAAGCACTAAGAGCTTCCTCCAAGGTCTGCGGGGTATGCATGACCATGAAGTCTAGGAACTTTCCTGGCTGAAGGCCATTCTGCATTGCGAAAACGGCTAGCCCCTGGTCCAGCTGGGAGACGCTTGATGACTCGTTACTGAAACGGGTCAGGTAGTCTCGGAGGCTTTCGGTTTCCCCCTGTTGCAGACTCATGAGCTCTGCGGTAGTCTTCTCTCGGCGGTTTGCCGTGGAAAACTTGCTCCTGAACTTGGAGGACAGATCATCCCACCCTGTTACGGAGCCTTGCCTTACTCCCTTGGAGATCCACGCTTGCGCGACCCCCTTGAGAGTGGTTGGGAAATATTTGCACCAAGTCGCCTCGGATCTGGGGCAAAGATGCATATGAGTCTCATACGAGGCCACGTGATCCTTCGGATCCGTGGTCCCGTCATATGTGATGTGCGACGGTATTTTAACCGTGGGTACGCGCTCTTCCAGTATCCATTGCTCGAATGGTGAACTAGCGGGTAGCATAACGGTCTTGCCCTTGTTCCTGGCCGAAGGGACCGCGCTCCGCCCTCTTAGAGAGGTAGGAGTGGTTTTCGTCCCTGGCTGGGAAGTCTGGGCCTTGGCTGCAGGGAACGAGAGGCGACTGCGCACGCTCGGTTCCTTGCCGCCGAGTCGGTCAAGGACGCTTCTGCGAACAGTCTCAGGTTCTCGGTGAGTAGATTCTGGCCGAGAAGCTGAGCTGCTGCTCTTATGCGCTTCTGGTCTTGAGGATGAGGATCCTTTTAAAAATTGAGGGTTCTTTTTCCTCTGTTTTTCATTTTTCCAAGAATCCTCCTCCCACTCTTCCAGTTCCCGGAAGGAAGGAAGCTTCCCACCATCATGGTCTAACTTCCTCCGCTGATGCCGGGTATGCGGAGGAGTTCGATCACGAGGTGGTGGCATATTTTGTGCCCTCATCGCCTCCATGAGTACTGCCAGCGCTCTTGCCACCTCTTCCGAGCTGGGCCCCGTCAAAGGGGTCCTCGGCCGAGTGTGGGAATGAGGGCGCGCAACCGATGGCTGGCTTTGGGACACTGAATATGTCCTATGATCGGACTCACCCCTGCTAGACCGAGAGTGGCCCGGCCTATAATGAGAGTCATGAATTACGGGAGATAGGGAATCCTCCTTGTGTGATCCTCCCCCCGAGCCGGCACCCTTGGGAGAGTTCCGGTCCGGCGAGGGCGATGGTGTAGGGGTTTTAGGCTTTTCGCCCGCTCCTTGACGGAGGCTTTTGCTCTTGCGGTTCTTAGCCATTGCTGCTAAGATAATTGCCAGATGATCTTGGTTAGGAATTTGGCTTAAAGATTTTTGAAAGTTTTCCCCACAGACGGCGCCAAATTGTTTCGGGTGAAAACAATGGGACCTTGCCGAAGGTCCGCTGAAATGGAGAAGGCTGGATTCGGTTGTTTCGGGTGAAAACAATGGGACCTTGCCGAAGGTCCGCTGAAATGGAGAAGGCTGGATTCGGTCCAAGTTATGTTGGGCCCAAGGTTTCCTGCACAGTAAACACACGTAAACTAGCCTCGGGGGTGTTGCCGAGGAAGGCCCCTCCGATGCTAAAGTCAGTACAATGTGTAAGAAGAGGACACTATGCAAGAGAGTTTGTTGCTTGAGGCTTTATGGAATATATCAGAATATATGAATGAACATATGAATCTATGAATCAATCAGAATCCATCAGAATGATGGCTTTTATACCTCATCATACATGGAGAGGTTGGGCCTTAGCCCAATTGGCTTGCTTTGTGGGCTGACCTTTGACTTTAGCACAATTGGAGAGTTGAACCTTGACCTTGGGCTTTTAATTGGATCATTGAGTGCTTAGGCCCAATTGGACTAAATTGGACCCAAACAGTTTAGATTCTCCCTTCATGATGATATGGAAAAAGCATTATTCGAAGGTCCTTGGTTCATATTGGATCACTATCTTATGGTTTCTAGATGGAAACCAAATTTTAGGTCATCCTTGAATTCGTTTCAAAACATATCTGTTTGGATACGTTTTCCGGAACTCCTAGTAGAATATTTGATAAGGTCATAAAAGTATATTATTTTATTTCATAAACTCTCGACTTTATATTGATATTTAATGGTTTAAAGATATATTAAGTAATTTTTTTTCCGAGATACGAACTACTACTATTTTATTTATTTGTCTGTAGGAAGGAAGATTACGGTTTCAAGTGATATTTTAACACCGCTCGGATCAAATGAGGCAAGACCCATAAGCCCAATCATCTCACATCAACCCATCAATATGTGAACAGGTCATGTGGGTCATTGAAGTATACCACTTTACTCTTTCAAAATAAACAACAAAACAACTTCAGCAATAAGCATTACAGGGGCAAAACAAAAAGAAGAAAAAGATAAGAAGTAGCTCCACTTCTTGCGGAACCAACTCCCAAAAGAAAAGATAAGCATGAAATCAGATTACTTTGGGAGGATATACTCAGATCTTGGGGCTGACTTTTCGGTGGGAAAAAGGGGAAAAACAGGCTAGATGATCGTGAATTTAGGGGGCGACATTCTGAGCAGCGAAATTCAGCAACAAACCAGAAGAAAACTAGCAACAACGAACTCAGGGGAAGTTGAACTCGGCGACAGAGGAACCGAGGTGGTTGTAGTTCTCGGTTTGCTACGAAATAGGTTGGAATTTCGTTGAGTTGAAAGTTGTACTTTGGGGGAAAGTTTCTGGGCTGGTTTTAGTTGAAGTAAATCAGCAGGAAAAAAAGGTTGAACTGAGAGACATCGCAAGGGATCTGAAGAGAAGAACTAAGATAGAAGCTGCGGTGGAGCAGTATATTGTTTGTGGGCCTGTTCGCGGTTGTTTCTCCTATTTTCACTCTAGAAAAATTGGTATTCATTACTCTAGATTCCTTTGTTAATTTATGATTTTTGCATGTACTATTTCAACGGTTGGTGATTTCGTACTAATTTAATCTTGTTTTCATCATTTCATTATTGTCAGATTAAGGAGTAGTTTCAAGTATTATCGGATTCATTTACTTGTTACATTTATTTTCTTACTTTCTTCAAGCAATATGGTTATTATAGCTTTCATTGCTTTACCTTCGGATATGTCAGGCTAGATTAGTCGTGGGTACGGAGATGTATTATACATTGGATTATTGTATTGTGAGAATAAGAATGTGGTAATTTGACAGTATTATGTTTATTTCTTGATTGGATTGGTATTCTGTTTTATTGGTATGAACTATCATATTATATTACAGACCGACCATCTTTAGTATAATTTGTTAGTTTAATTGCTAGAGTATTGCCGTGTGATACGTAATTGTCTGGGTTAGTACTCCTTAGTAGCACTTAGGTGTTTGATAGGTGACTAAAATTTGTCCGATGCCGATGATTATCAACCCTTTAGGTTGCATGAATCCGAGCTTGTGAGATTTGTGGCTTAAGTTAGCTACTTCCTAGTTATTAATGCTGCTAATTAATCGAGTCCAGAGAGCTTATTCTAGATTGGTAGTTAGTTAGACAATATTCCAAGAGCTTGTTTGATTTATTTGCAATTAAGGGAAGTGTCGAATGCTTGTTTGTGTTCATCGGCTAACATTGAGATAAAAACATGATTTATATAATTCGATGATCAATCAATATTCCAATGCTATATTGTATCTCCCGATCCCTATTTCGTCATTCTTGATTTTTGATATTTACTATTACTGTTAGTTTTATATCTCCGTACTTAGCTTATTTTCAAGTCCGTAGTTTTATGTATTAGATCGTAATAGTCATTCTTCAAATCAGGGGTTTTTAACATTCGTAAGTAATAATTTGATAATCTAATTCTCTGGGGGGATCGACCCTAGCTTACCCTACTACATTTTTAGGTGGTTTTAGTTAGGTTTATTTTTGGTAGACACGCGACAGTCGTACCAAATTTTGGCGCCGTCGCCGGGGAATTGGCGTTTTATTACATTATTACTTGTATTTTTGCTAACTTTCCTTACTAACTTGTCATCTAATTCCTTGTTTGTTTATGCGTGACAGAAATTTGAAGAATCAAAGATTAAGGGAATTTGCAACAAGGAACCAAGGACTAATAAATATTACCTTTTTCTACGTCTTTTGTAGCTAAAGGACTCGTGCTCAGATATTGGAGCAAGCTTGTCAGATTCCGTTGCCTCTAAGTGAAAGTTCATCTTCGGATGAGGAAACTGAAGAAATTTTTGAGATGGCTGACCGTACCTTAAAGCAGCTTGATGTTCCTACCTTTGATCCTAATATGCATATTAGATGGTGAGACAGAATGTGAAATCAAGCCTAGACTGATTAGAGCATTACCCACATTTTCAAGCTTCCGCAATACTAGCTCCTTGGGTTCAGTTTACATGAATGAGGCGAACAGATTCTTGAAAGAATTTCACATAGCATGTGCGGGGATGAAACCTGCTGACGTAACCCTTGACCAGCTCAAGTTAAAGGCATTTCCTTTTGCCTTGACTGATGCTGCCAAGGAGTGGTTGTTCGAACTTCCGGCAGGAACCATCATAACCTGGACTTAGATGCAAGAAAAATTCATTGAAAAATATTATCCGGCATCTCTGGCGACAAACTTTTAGAAAAGAAATTGTGGGATTCAACAAGAAGATGCAGAGACATTTCATGAGTATTGGGAGCGTTTCATAAAGTTACGAGACAGCTGTCCTAACCATCAGATCAGTGAGAAATTGGTAGTGCAATATTTTTATGAAGGGCTCACGGAGTCGGATTGGAACTTAATTGATGCTGCAAGTGGCGGAGCACTGGTTGATAAGACACCCGTAGATGCAAAGATACGGATAGCGAACATGGCAGCAAACTCTCAGTATCGAGGAGGTCGAAATATAAAGTCCACTTTTGTACGTCAAGTTAATAAAGTGGTGAGTTCTAACCTCGAGCAACAAGTAGCGAGTAATGATCGAGAAAGGGCAAGAAAAAGCATGTGGCATCTGTTCAATGGTAGGACACCCAACTGATATGTGCCCCACTATTCAAGAGGAACAAGTGAATTCTATTAGCGGTGGTCAGGGGCAGCAAAGACGTTATGATCCGTTCTCTCAAAATTATAATCCGGGGTGGAGAGATCATCCAAACCTGATATATGGCAATGTTCAGCAATAGACAGGCAACTCCAACCTCAGACAACCTAAGCCATGCAGAACTTAGCAACCTAGCCCAAACAATAAATCCAATTGGAGGAGGAAGATTTAGAAAATGCAGAAGAAAAAAACATTCCTAGAAAAAACCCAATTCAAGTGAAGAAAAATCATAGCATTAACTCTACTAGTATTTTAGGAATGAAGGCTAATAAATCCCTTAGAGTTCCGAAGATTAGCTTCCAAGTTAAAAAGGGCAATTCTTGTTCATTTGTTCAAAATCAAACTTAAATCGTTAAGGATGATCAACAATCACCTTCGACACATGATAGCGAACCTCCAGGTCTCCCATTCCCGCAAAGCGGTACAAGAGACGAGCTCCCCTCCATCTATAATAGCTCAAGCAATCATGCCACCCCCATCTCTCTCAAAAATTCCAACCTCCTTCCCACCATCTCCTCTCAGCCAAGTTCCGCCTGCGAAGCCTCGATTAATGCACCATCTACTCCCCATATTCCCAACTCTGAAATTATGGCCGACATTAGCATGCCCTATGCAATTGGAAAAAAAAAAGAAATTAAACCATGAGTGTAGCATTAAAGGTGATAATAACCCCTTACATATTCCAATCTCAGTCCGAGTATGAATTAAATCCCCTTCAACCACCAATGGAAAACCCTCTAACCTTCCTCTTGCAATTAGAAAGCATAATCTTAAATCTCATGTTACCTCAAAATCTCCTAACATCCTTTGTTTCGGGGATTGAAGTGATAGGCTTCAAATTGAACCTGAACTTTGTATCGTCGGGGAACTTAACTCTGGAAATCAATCTGATGATCTCGCCAATCCTTCTTATGACGAGTCGATGTTTAGCTCGGAGTCAATTCCGTCGTTCCCCCCTTTGCAATTGCTAATATGAAGACAATTATGTGGAATGTTAAAGGTGCAGCGTGTAAGGAATTTGTCACATGTTATGTGCTTAATTCAATCTCATCATCCTGTTATACTTATTATTTTGGAAACAAAAGCTAAGGATAGCAGAGCTCAAGAAGTCTGCAAAAAAATTAGGGTTTAACAGCAATAGTACAATCGGTGCTAGGGGTTTGAAGGGTGGTATTAGGCTTTTCTAGAAGAAGCCAGCAGAATTGGTGTCCTTGTTTAAGTTTGTCCTAATAATCCGGAGGTCCTTATCACTGGTATTCATGCCCCATCTACAGCTAAAGACAAGAAAATCTTATGGAATGACCTCGAAAATAATCTCCCCCCTTCCAACGCCCCTTGGATGGTGGTGGGAGATATGAACGAAGTCCTGAATCAATCGGAGAAAATGGGAGGGAGGCCTGTCACAGCTTCTCAAGGCAGCAACTTTTCAGATTGGTTTGATGTTGTCGGTCTTGTTGATCTTGGTTATAATGGGCCATCTTACACTTGGAATAATGGAAGATATGGGTTGGAGCTAATAAGAGAAAGGCTAGACAGAGCACTTGCAAATGCAACTTAGCTTGATCTTAATCCTCATACCCAGGTATATCACCTTTCGAGAACATATTCTGATCATTGTCCAGTGTTAATTTGAACTAATAATATTGTCACTAGGGGTAATTTTCCTTTTCGTTGTAACGAATCATGGCTTGCAAATCCCGACTTTCGTGATTTTTTCAAATATTTATGGAATAAGGGTGGCTCGGATTTTATCTCTAGTAAAAACTTTTTTATTAATGATGTCATGCATGGGGATAAAAATGTTTCTAGAAAGAGTATGTAATACCCGAATATTTTAAGATTTAATCAAATATATTTTATGGCTAAAATATGATATTTTAAATTATTTTATAAATTTTTTATACTCTATTTTTGTTATCCTATAAAATTTTTCTTAAACCCTAAAATAGTTATCAATTGCTTTAAGAAAATTAAAAAAATTAAAAAAAACATTGTCGTCATTTTCCTTTTGGCTGTGCGTGAAACCAAACCAAGATTTGATATTTTCTTTTAATTTTCTTATTTTGATTTCGCTTTTGCGCATCATCATCATCTCATTAGCATTATCATATAAGTGCTTTTGATTAATCTAAAAACCAACATTTTTTTATGGGGTAATATAGCAATTATGCAGATGCGTGGTCTTCTATTATTATTGTTGTTAGAGTAAACGTCTTCCGACTTCCGAGGTAATCACACTTGTCGTTTTGGAGTCGTATGTTTTTATATTTTGACTAGAAATCACACTATTGATCCTTTGGAGTTGTTTAATATTAACGTGATTGTATTATTATTATTATTATTATTATTATTATTATGTGTAAATTTATTGGACATGTTTGGTTATAAATTGTTTATTGACTGTACTCTGTAATATTATGTGTAAATTTTATGATTTGTTATTCATATGATCATGTTTTGAAAATATATGGTTGATTTATGATGATCTATGATTTAATTGTTGTATTATTTTATTGTATTATATTGATTGATTGTGTTTTTATTCTAGGGTTCTAATGTTGTTGATGTAGGAAGTATTGTTTTTGAGGTTTTAGGGTTACTAATATTCTTATTTTTTTGGGTTGTGAGTTAATTATATTTGGGAACTAGTTTTATTGTCCTATAAGAGTTGGGATATTTTATAAACCGGAAATGTCGTGTTACATTATTTGGGAACCCGTGCCATTATTAAGATATTGATTATGAATCTGTAAATGATTATTTGAGCAAGTATGAGATCAAAAGAGTTGAGAATTATTATTTTGTTCTTGGTTTGAGGCTCGGCGTTATAAACCTTAGTCCTTAGCATGTTGGTAAGGAGATAATGATCATGAGTTAAGAATGAGGTACAATCTTTATTTATATTTTTTTATGGTCCCCTACAGTGGGATTTGACCCATATTGGTTATGGTTTAAGGTGTTTTCTGGTTATTGAGAGTATTCAAGTTCTTATACTTGTTAGTTTGTTATTTGAATTACTCATGTCCAAGGCTGGGTATAAAACAAAGAGCGTGGCACACTTATGGGATAGATGAGTTAATTGAGTAAAGTTCCGTATTGTTCGAGGTTGGATTTGATAAAGGTTATTTTTAGAGTACAATGTGTAATGTAGTTTTGAACTACATTGTTTAATTGAGCTATTAGTGTTAATTATTCTATTATACTCTGTATTCTGATATGTGATGATTACTCATCTTTTTGCTGACATGTGTGTTTGTTTGTTGTGCTACTTGTGTTTGCGGCCATGTCTTTTTCTTATGGTGGCCCTGCGACGATCTATTTCGGAATTTGTTCTTAATGGTGAGCAGTCAAGTTTGTCTAAATAGGTTGATCAAGTGATCGTAGCTAAAGCAGCTCAAGTGTTTCGATTAGTATTTTATAACAAGTTTGTAAAGTTGTATAAATAGCTCACCTAGTTTATTGGGTTGTAATTATTGGGATTTTGTGAGCCTTAACACTTGACAAGTTGTTGAGTGTGGCGGTAATACCTCCGATTTAGGTGTATGCTTCCGCAGTTTATTCAAAGTTTGTTTATTTTTCCTTTATTTATTACTTATTATTAGCTAGTAAATTGGGGGTGTTACAGAGTATTAGCGATAAAAATCACCTCTTTGCTCGAATGCATGGGATTCAGAAAGTTCTTTGTGAGCATTACTCTCCCTTTCTCATAAGGTTGGAAAAATATCTCCTTAACCAACTTGACCATTCCTTAAAGGTTGAAAGAATTGGATTGGAGAAAATATGGGGACTAGAATACGAAATACTTTCATATTTTAGCGAAGTTTAGAGACAATCGGGGTAAAATTATCTCTTCAAAAAATGAACATGGGGAATGGGTGAGTGATCAGGATACACTAAAATCTATCTGTGTTTCCTATTTTAAGAACATCTTTTCCACCAGCCAATCTTCTTAGCCAAGAAATGTTAATTTCTCACCCAAAGCTTATGTTAACATTACTGACCGAAAATTTCTGGCCTCCCCTATGACTAAGTTAGAGGTTAAGCAAGCTCTAGATTCCATGATGCCTATGAAAAGTCCGGGTCCGGACGGTATCCAGCCTATTTTCTTCCAAAAGAATTGGGATGTGGTGGGTGACTCTATTTTTAGACTTATCTCTGATTGCTTTGCATCGGGTGTTGTTCATCATGTTATTAACGAATCTTTCATTGCTCTCATTCCTAAAACAGATAAACCTTCTTCGATGGATGAATTTAGACCTATTGGACTTTGTAATTCAATTTACAAATTAATCACAAAAGTGATAGCCAATATGATCAAGCCCCTTCTTGATAATCTCATTAATCCGGTTCAATCTAGTTTCATTCAAGGTCGTTCAATTGAGGAAAATATTCTTGTTATTAAGGAAGTTGCTCATTTTTTTTAAAAAGACGAAGCAAAAAGAATTTGATGGCTTTCAAAATTGATATTTCAAAAGCTTATGGTAGCTTAGAATTGAATGGGGCTTTATAAGATAAACACTTTTAGGAATAAATTTTCCAGAGAATCTTATTAAGCTTATTCTAAGTTGCATTACTACTCCTTCAATCTCTATCTTTTGGAATGGAGAAAAAACTGAGAGCTTTAAGCCTTCTCGAGGTATTCGGCAAGGGGATCCCCACTCTTCTTGTGCTTTGTCTTGAAAGATTATCGTTGTTGATAGAGAAAAGAGTTGAGTTAGGGGACTGGAAGCCTATTAATATTGATAGAGTTGTGTGCATTTCTCATCTCTTTTATGCAGACGATGTCTTTGTTTTTGCTAATGCCTCTATGAATAACCTTTGTGTTATTAAAGACACTATTCTAGAATTTGGGTGCAATACCCCGTATTTTTATACGTATTTTAACTTAAATAAGTATTTCTTAAAGTATTTAAATGATTCAAAATGAATTATTTATGTTGTTTCATTAATTTAAAAAGAATCAATTTAATTAAAAGTTTATTTTTAATTATTTAACAATCTTGAAAATATTTTATTTCATGATTTGGAACCTTTGGGGCATGTTATTTTTTATAAAAGGAAATTTTAAAGTCAACGAGTTTTTAAAGAAAGTAAAAATACTAGTTTGAATAGAAGAAGGGATCATTAAGGGTCGAAAGGGGAATTTAAATAGGAGGGTTTAGAGAAGGGGTATAAATACCCATCACATGGGGCAAATTGAACCTTGCCCAAGGTGGAGAATACCCAAGGTAACACTCTCTTTCTTTCTCCTCTTATTTTCTCTTTCTCTCTCTTATTTTCCCCTTCCCCTTTATTTTTATTTTTGTCTCATCACCACCCACACACACACACCACCATCGGCCGACCACCACCACATCCACCACCACCAGCACTCGCTGGCAACGGCGGCCACCAGGCGGGCGCGCAGCAGCCTGACCTTGGTGGTCGTGCGCCCCTTTCGAAAAAAAAAATTCTTCTTTTGATTTTTAATTAAATCCACCCTTGATCTAATTATTGATTTTAAGTTTTGTGATGATTTTTATGATGTTTGATAATAGGTATTTTGTATATAAATTTTTAGATTTGGTTTTGAATTAGAAAGCCCTAAATTACAAACCCTAGGTTTCTAAGTTTATGTATTTTGATGGGAATTGTTTATGGGTGATTTAATTATTGAAATAAGTGTTTAAAAACACAATTACAGCAATTTTAGATGATTTAATAAAGCTGGAATTTTTGTATATAAGCTACAATTAAGTTTCTTGAAAGGATTTTTAATTACCCATTAATTGGGAATAAAAGTAAGGGTTTTTAATTGAAATTCAGCTTATTTTAGAGGGTTTATGAGTGATTTAAAAAGTGTATATATTGCTGGAAATTTGTGTGGAATAGGTATTAATGACTCTTTGTAATTTTGGTTTGTAAGAGTTTTCCAAGTGAGTGATTTTATTTAGTTGTGGCGATTTTGAGATCATATTCAAGGTACGTTCGCGTACTTGGTAATTATTTGAATATGTAGAAGCATGCTAGGCTTTGATAAATTAATTCCAAGTAGTATCATGATAGGGGTTGGTTGGAATTTGTTGTATGATTGATGTTGGTGAATGATTTGTGATTGGAATTAATTATGTTGGCATGTTGGATATGAATCACACTTTTATTATTAGCATGATTGAAGGCATGTTTAATTAAACTAAATGTTTAATTTGGTTTGGAATATGAAAAGAAAATTTAATCATGGTTCATATAATTTTTATTGATGCTTTAAGCATGGAAATTGAGCTATCAAGTGTCTTAGTACACAAGAATAAATTATATTGCGGTGCCTATATGCACTTAAGGTGTTTCTAATACCGAGAGATAGGATTTGCGGTGCATTATGCGTTTAAGGTGTCTTTGACACCGAGGTAGATTAAAAAGGGTTCAACTATTAAAAGTTATGTGGTCACTCTCATTATTCAAGAATTTAAAATTTTTTATGTTTGATTGCTTGAATGATTATAATGTTGGATTGTGTTATGGTTGAGAGTCATCACCAAGTCTAATAATATGTAAACAACATAAAGTGAGAGATTACGCACAAAAACTCCTGGAACGTATATACCTCGAGTATGAACATATAGGGGGAGTTATGCGACTTTATATTTGACCATAACTTCTACTGGGAGTACAGGACGCTGTATTTTCCTTTTTATTTATTTTACGCGCAGGACGTCCAGTCACTTCATGTGGCATTTGCCTACTTGGTTAGCTCCCGGTGTAGTTTTCTTCAATTTATTTGGGGCAGGGATTTGGTTGGAAACCCGTTCGATGCGTAATCAAATTAAATGGACATTGGTATTTATCTAGTTAAATGTTGAATGTCTTGTATGCTTGTGTACAGGTGCAACAAGGTAAGTTGTGTGATGATAGGATGAAAGCATGTTAGTGTGTTTTTATTACGCTTATGTACTCAATTTTGTTGATTGTGTGTTGTATGTTTGTTTGGCCTTATATTTACCTTGGCCCTACGACGACCTATTTCTAGTGGTGAGTAGTGGGGACAAGTAGAGAGAAGTTTTTCAAGTGATGAAACATTTTCATGACGGGCATAAGTGAAGAGCGAATCATGCTTAGTGTCCATAAGAATATGATGTATTTTAATTGCTTTGAATATTATTTATTTTATTATGCTTATGAGACTAACGTAAAGTTTTTCAGTATTGTTTGGTTTTAAGGGCCTACAATGGTTCCAAGTTGTAGTTTGACTTCGATTGACTTTACTTTCGTTTGGTTTGACTTTTAAGTTGACTTGTTTTTGAATGGTTTTAAAGTTAATCTTCCGCTGTGTGTCTTTGATATTTGCTTTAGCCGTTTTCACGGTGGCGGTAATGTCTTAGATTTTCCTATTTCGTATTTTATAAAGGGAAAAACAGGTATTTTAATTTAAAGGAAAGGAATTTCTAAGGTGTTACATTGGGAACTTGTTAGGTTTACAAATCAGTCCTTCCAAATCAAAATCATCTTCCCTCCCAAAATGAGTCTTTCTCTTAAACTTTCCATCATCAATGCCTCGAACCTCTTGAGTGCTGCTACCTTCGGGAAGTATTTGGGAAAGGCTTAAAAAGGCTGATTATAATGATATTTTCACTAAGACTAAAGATAGGATTAGGGGTTGGCAAGCTAAGCTGTTGAACATGGCGAGGCGGTGGACTCTTATCAAATCCGTGCTTAATTCTTACCCCTTCTATTCTATGCAAACCACTCTTATACCTTGTTCTATTCTTGATGATCTTGTAGAAGGTTTTTATGGAATAAAGTTGATAGGTCTCATCATCTTCCTAGAACAAGTTGGGAGAAAATTTGCTTACCTATGGGGCTTGGAGGTCTAGGTATTTGGAAGTTAAGGAGTTGGAATTTAGCTTTCATGGCTAAATTAGGGTGGAGAATTATTCATGAACCGACAGACTTTGGGTTAAAATCCCTTGAGCAAAGTATTTTAAAAACTCCACTTTCTTAATAGTATTGATACTCCTAGTGCTTCTCCCTTGTGGAAAGATATCATGAAGGGTAAAGATCTTCTTTTGAAGGGCATAGCTTATAGAGTGGGTAATGGAGAGGATATATGTTTATGGTACCATCATTGGGTGGGAGAGGGTCCCCTGTACACTATTCTTGAGAAACCGATCCCTAATTCCATAACTCACTGGCGAGTAAGTAATATCATTCGCAATGGTGTTTGGGATTTGGGAAGAATAAGACATATTGCCCCTGACCAGTTGTGCAAGCTCATTGAATGCATCCCCCTCCCTTCTGTAGCTGATGTCAAGGATGTTATTTGCTGGAAGTGTAACACTAATGGTCAATTCATAGTAAGCAGTGCGTACATTCTTGAAGAAAATTTTGTCACCCATCCAACCTTTCCCCCTGTTAAGTGGAAGTCCATTTGGCACCTTAAGATCCCATATAAATACAAAATGCTTGCCTGGAATGCCTGCCATTCTATCCTTCCCGTAGCCACCATATTAGCAAACACTTTACCCAATTTTAATCCCATTTAAACGAGATGTGACTTGGATAATGAATCCCACCCTCATTTATTCAGAGATTGCATAGATTCGAGAGTTTTTTGGGCCAGAATTTTTCAAGGAAATAGGTTGGAGAAGGACTTCAATATTCATACCTTTTACAATATTGATTGGGTAGGATGGATAAACTATAACTTAGGGAGGAACAATAATTGGAAAACCATTTTTTTAATTGCTCTGTGGCACTTATGGAAGGCAAGGAATGGGTCTGTTTTCCAGTTGGCTATGATACATCCAGTTTCGATGTATAACAAGTTCATGTGTGATCTGGTGGCTACCTTTAATGCTTTTCAGGGACAGGACAATAGTATGGTGATCGGTATCAACGAGATGAAATGGAAGAAGCCTAGACAAGGATATGTTAAGCTTAATACAGATGGTGCCTGGAAAATCAGTGGACAAGCTGGTGCATGTTGGGTGATTCGTGGTGACCACGGTCGCTGGATTGCAGGAAAATCGAAGAAGATTCGTTCTAGGAACTCAATTGAAAATGAATTAATTGCAATCAGAGATGGGCTTGCTATGACTCTGGCTGCTAGGCAAAGGTGCATCATTGTTGAAATGGATGCTAGCTCGCTTAAGAAGACCGTGGAAGAGGTGGACAAATACAACACTCATGAATTTGTTGTTATCTTGAAGGACTTGGAGAAGCTGCTGAAAGGAAATAGTGAGGTAGGGTTCAACTTCATCCTAAGAGAAGAGAACTTTGTTGCTCATTGCTTGGCCAAACAAGCTGTCGAGATGGTTAAACCGGAAAAGCTATCATAGCATTGTTCCTGCCTGCGCTAGAGGTTCCTGTAAGAAGAATTGCTTGACAGCAATTACTAACCTGCTATCTGTTCTCACTGATGTTGGTTGAGAATTTGTTTTGAGATTTAAGCTTTTGTTGCTTTATATGTTCTGGCTACTAACTTTGTGTTTTAGTGTATGACTTTAAGCTGAGTGTTGGTAGGATTGGTACTCAGTTGGTTTAATTAATATATTCTCCTCTTCCTATTAAAAAAAAAAAAAAAAAAAAAAAAAAAAAAAAAAAAAAAAGACCTTCTGTAACACCTTCAAAGTTTGAGTCTCTTAAAACAATAAGAGTAACCTTTTTAACTTTCAAAACCCAACCATCGAACCTTGGGAGTGTTACCGCTACACTTATTTTCCGTAGAAAACAAGTGCAAAGCAAAACAAAAATACAATTTAATATACTAAGTGGTCTAAATGGCGGCAAAATTAAAATAGTCATTACATCCAAATTGTTAAATATTTTAAATAAAGTAAGTAAAAGGAAAATAAATAAGTTCGGAAATAAACTAAATTGTCTTAGCTACGTGATTATTCTAACGTCTCCTCACACGTAACCGAATACTCTCTTACCAACCTACAAAATAAATCAGAAACAAGAAAAGAGAGAAAACTCCCAAACTCAGATAAACTAAGTAATTCCAACTCCATCCCGTAAAATAAATAATTTTAATTCGAAAATATTTTATACATAATACAGTTACATAGACATTAATTATAATACTAAACCAATATCAAATTATCACATAATACTTTATTACTATAGTTAAGAAAGGAAAAGAGAATGCCAGTAAGCCGGGACTAATCCCTGTCACCACCTACTTTACAGAGGATCGCGCGTAACCCCAAATGGCCATAAAATAAAACATAATGTCCCTAGTTTGCACACCCCTCAATCCCTCACTAATACCCATTGATTAGGAGGAAGACTAAACATCAATCTACGTTAATTTAAACCAACTAGTAGCAACCATAACTACAAGTGGGTAACCTGTTCTTCACCCTTTCGGGTTTCATTTCCCTTCTTAATTGCAATGTACATTTTAATAGATTAAATTGTGCGATCACATTGCACACAAGTATTGCAAATCAATTTAATCCCAAGTAACAATATTTCAATTTCAGTATTATTAGAACATAGTCATTCTAAATGACATACTAATTACAACTCGTTTTCTAATAGGCCTTGGAGACTATCAATTACATATAATCAATCATCCAATTCCCAAGATTTTAATTATTTTAAAAATTCATACGATACCAATTAATCAAATTTTCGAAAATACTTATACTAGTACACAAAGTATAGAATACTAGTATAAAATATGATTCCATAGTATCATACGATAATACACTCATCACATATAATTATATAAGCACATAGTTGGCACAAAATATTTCAAAACAATTTCCTAACGGTTATCTAAAGATGATGGATATTGAAAATTACCTTGATCGTGCGTAAATCTCAAGGTAAGTAACCTCCGAAACGTTCACCTAATAGCCTCCGCTACAAATAAATAGATGATAAAACTAAATTAGTCTGACTTGTATAGCTAATAGTCTAATACGAAGTTAGTAGTAGTACAAGGGAAAAGAAAAAAGAACTCTTATATGCAGTGGCGGAGCCACGGTGGGTTCAAGTGGGTTCATTGAACCCACTGATTTTTTGAAAAAAATTAAAAACTTTTTTTTTTAAAAAAAAAAAAATCAAAATAGGTTTAAATAGAATATTTGTGTATTATATGGCAACAAGTAAAGTTGTAGCCCAGTGGTTATTTTTACCTCTCATCATACAATGATACAAGAGTTTGTGGGTTCAGGGTTCGAAACCCATAACTCACACTTTTATTTTTTCATTTTGTTTCCTTTCATCCTGCTTCCCCTAATCCCCTGCTTCCAGCTTTCCTCTTCCTCATTCCCCCAAATTGCAAAACCCTAACTTCTTCCTCCTTCTCTTAATCTCTTCCCGTTCTTCCTCCTTGGCTCCTTCTCTTCCCGTTCTTCCTCCTTGGCTCCTTCTCTTCCCGGCGCACGGGCGCAGCACCGCAGAAGTCCGCAGCAGCCACTCAGGCACTCAGCCAGCACCGCAGCACGACAGGTCGGCAGTAGGCCAGTAGTCACTAGTCAGCCCACTTTGCCGGTTTCCTTTAAGGCTTTAATTGTATGTCGTCTTCTATCTAGTTCTATCTGGCCTTCTGGGTTAATAATATATAAAGTTTTTGGTTTCATGATTTTTGTAGATAATTACGTGAATACGTGGTGTTTGAATGTGTGAATGTGTGATGAACTTTAGCTATCAATTTTGGGTTTTTGGGTGACTACTGTCTATTGAAAAAATGGTTGAAATTGGGGTCTTGGGGAAGGAAGTATCTGATTTTCATTTACTGATTTAGGGTTTGTAGATTGTAGAAGTAGTTCATTTGTTGAATTGTTGTCTGTTGACTTGAATTAGTGTAATTTGTATAGCCTGTACTTGAATTGTTGTTTGTTGAATACTTGAATTGTTGCCTGTTGAAGTGTTGAATGTTGATTGTCGGTTGAAGTGTTGATTGTCTATTGTTTTAGAGTGTTTATCAATGATTCAATGGAGGTTGTTTTAGAATGTACTACATTGTTCTCATGTTCTGTAATTAGTGTAATCTGTACATTGTTCTTGACTTCTTGTCATGGGTTATCATCGATTTATTGCAGAAGTCGATTAGAAGGGGATAATCAGTGCTCGGTGCTCCACTGCTCCGTCATCCACTCATCCATATTTCGTGGCTCTGTAGGTGAATAACTGAATTTTTACTTCTTAATTTCATATATTTTACATACTATTTGTTTTGATCTTGAATGAATGAATTCTTGATAATAAATTATGATGTATTGATTTTTATTATCTAAAAAAAAATCTGAAAAAAATTGTATGCAATTGCAAAGATATTCTTCTTCTTAGTTTGCTGTATTGCTGTATGCCTCTATTGCCGTATTGCCGTATGCAAAGATATTCTTCTTCTTGAATCTTGATAAATTATGATGTATTGATTTTTATTATCTAAAAAAAAATCTGAAAAAATAATTTTATAGTGATTGTGTGAACTTCTGTATTGCAGTATTGCCGTATTGGTGAGTGGTTTGCTTATTGATATTTTTTGGTTTATTTCTTTCTCGTATCCATTCTTTCCAGTTTCCAGTTAGCCTATTGTTGCTGTATTGTTGCATGTTGCTGTTAATTGGCGAGTGGTTTGCCGTATTGTTGCTGTTAGCCACTTAGCCTATCATTGAAACTGGTGAAATTCGTTGAGTTACTTTTGGTCTTTACATAATTGTATGCAAATATGCAATTCGTATAATTGTATTCAAATATGCAATTCGTACATAATTGTATGCAAATATGCAATTCATTCAATTGTAAATTATGATTCTGAACTTTCGAAATTTCGAACCCCCTATTTGGAAATCCTGGAGACGCCACTGCTTATATGTCAACTGTGTTGGTGAGAAAAAAATTTAGAAGTATAGAGTATTGATTAATCTAGTAGCCCATTATCTACAACATCTTTCTCCTTTTGGTCTGCAATTTCCACGCACCAAACTCCATAGTTTTCCTTCTTTAAAATAAATTTCAATGATGTCTACTTTTTGGCAGAAGAAAGCAACGCCTTCTCTTAATGAAATTCTAGTTCGTTAATTACAACAAGAGGCAAAAGTTTAAAGAAATTGAGTGGGTAAGACAAGAAATCATGAAAAGGTTTAATGATTAGTGTTTCAAATTAAGAAAACCATCGTTTACCGATGAAAGACTGGTTGGGAATGACGACTTGGTAAATTGAAAGAGATGGGTATTGTATCAGCTTTAGGATTTAGGTGTATATATATAACTTAGAGGTTAGGTTGAATTTCTCTAGAATATTTCGAAGATAAGACTCAATTCAAATTAAGGTTTGTTGCTAGCTCTTATCGAAAAGTTTAGTTTAATTTAATTTTTTTTTTCCAGTTTTCAAAATCAGTTTATGGAAATTATCCAAAATCAGTATTTTTTTTTTTTTATTTTTTTTTTTATAAATCCGAAAAAAGAAAATAATAATTACAAAATTTATTAAATTTGAAAATAATTATAAAAATTTGAATACTAGAAATTCATTTACTAAAAAAAAATTTGGGGTATTACATCTACTCCCCTAAAACGAAAGTTCGTTCTCGAACTTTAAAGAGAGCAAGGCTCACAGAAAAAAGATAAGTTAGACATTCTACCCTCCTTTAAGAGTTTCAGCCTCGAAACTCAGTGTACCTGCTCAAAAAGTTCTAGGTAGCGCTTTTTCATATCATGTTCAGCTTCCCAAGTTGCTTCTTCAAAATTCTGATTATCCATAGCACTTTAACTAACTTTACCGCCTTGTTTCGAGTATTTCTCGTTTTGGTATCAAGAATTTTCACTCGGCATTCTTCGAAAGTTAAGGTCTCATCTATCTCAATAGTCTTGGGTTGGATAACATGGGTAGGGTCATGAACATACTTTCGGAGTTGAGAAACATGAAAAACATTGTGAACATAGGCTAACTCCATGAGGAAGGCTAGTTAATATGCCACCTCTCCAACTCTCTTCAATACCTCATATGGCCCAATGTATCTAGGATTCAACTTCCCTTTCCTACCAAACCGCATGACTCCCTTGGTAGGTGAAACCTTAAGTAAAGCCTTTTCCTCGACTTCAAATTCCACTATTCTCGTATTTTGGTCTGCTTATGATTATTGTCGATCTTGAGCTACCTTCATAATCGCCTGGATAAGCCTAACTTGCTTCGTTGTTTCTTCAATCAATTTTGGCCCCAAGGTCAAAGACTCACTAATATCACTCCAACACAAGGGACTTATACATTTCCTTCCATACAACGCTTCATAAGGTGCCATTCCTACGCTCATGATAGCTATTATTATATGAGAATTCAATCATAGGTAATCTTTCGTCCCATAATCCACCAAAGTCTATCACACAAGCTCTTAACATGTCCTCCAATTGTCTGAATTGTTCTCTCTGTTTTTCCATCTGTAGTAGGGTGAAACGTTGTGCTAAACTTCAGAATAGTGCCAAATGCTTGTTGAAAAATTCCCAGAACTTTGACAAAAATCTTGGATCTCTATCTAAAATGATGTCTTTCGCAACTCCATGTAGCCTCATAATTTCTTTCACATAGGCATCTGCCAACTGATTCATATTCCAAGTGTCCTTCATTGCTATGAATCTTTCTGTTTTCATTGAACGATCAACTATGACCCAAATAACATTCTTTGCTGCCCTTGTAAGCGGTAATCCCATCACAAAGCCCATAGAGATAGACTCCCACTTCCATCTTGGCACATCTAAAGATTGCATTTTCCCTCCGGGTCTCATATGTTGTATCTTCACTTTCTGACATGTCAGACACTTTGTCACAAAATCGACTACTTCATGCTTCATGTTCGGCCACCAAAATGTTGCTTAAGATCATTATAGATCTTATATCCTCCCGGGTGTACAGAGTACGGAGTGTTGTGAGCTTCTTCTAAAATCTTCCTTTTGAGATCTTTATCCTTATGAATACACCATATCCCTTTGTATTTCAGTGTCCCACTATTATTAATGTCAAACTCAGTTGTTGCTCCTTCTTCTTTCATCTTCCTTACCTTGGTCAACCACTCATCCGACATTTGCTTCTCACGAATCTCATCATATATGGTAGGTTTGACTGACATTGTATTCAACTGAGCGTTCGCTTGCCCATACTCCATCACTTCCAAGTTCAACTTCCTAAATTCATCACAAAGTTCCTTGGCTAAAACCATCAAGTTCACTGTATGAATTGCATGTCTTCCTACTCAAAGCATTAGCTACCTTGTTCGTTTTCCTTCGCGATATAGAATCTCTGGGGTATAATCGGTTAGCACCTCAAGCCATATCCTTTGCCTCATGTTCAAATGACTTTGTGTGAATATGTATTTAAAACTCTTATGGTCCATATACACATTACATCTCACACCATACAAGTAGTGTCTCTAAATCTTGAGAGCAAACACTACAACTTCTAGCTCCAAGTCATGAGTGGGGTAATTCTGTTCATGCTGCTTAAGCTGCCTTGATGCATAAGCTACAACCTTCCTATGTTGCATAAGTACACACCCCAAGCCATTCTTAGATGCGTCACTATAGACTTCAAACCCTTTAGTCCCTGATGGTAAGGTTAAGATTGGTGCCGAGGTGAGTCTTCGCTTCAATTCTTGAAAAGATTTCTCACACTTCTCATCCCACTAGAACTCAGTAGTTTTCTTCATCAAATTTGTTAAGGGTTGAGCTATCCTCGAAAAGTCTTGCACAAATCTCCTATAGTATCCAGCAAGCCGTAAGAAACTCCTCACTTCGGTCACACTTGTTGGTCTTGGCCAATTAGAGGCTGCCCGAATCTTAAATGGGTTCACTGCAACTCCTTCCTTTGAGATCACATGGCCAAGAAATGCTACCTTATCTAGCCAAAATTCACATTTTGAAAATTTGGCATATAACTTCTTTTCTCTAAGAATCTCCAACACTTTTCTTAGATGTCCTTCATGCTCTTCTCTATCCCTCGAGTACACCAAAATATCATCTAGAAAACCACAACAAACTTGTCCAAATATGGCTGAAAAGTTCTATTCATGAGGTCCATAAAAGTTGTCTGCATATTAGTGAGTCCAAAAGGCATAACGGTGATTTCATAATGGCCATATCTTGTGCAAAAGGCTGTCTTTGGTATATCTTCCTCAGCAGTCCTCAACTGATGATATCTTGACCTCAAGTCAATCTTTGAAAAGATCCCAACACCTTTAAGCTGATCAAACAAGTCCTTAATCCTGGGCAATGGATATTTGTTCTTTGTAGTAACATTATTCAATTCTCGGTAGTCAATACACAACCTTAAGGTTCCGTCCTTCTTCCTCACAAACAAAACCGGTGCTCCCCACTGTGAAACACTTGGCCTAATATAACCCTTCTCCAGCAACTCCTCCAACTGTACCTTTAACTCCTTCAGCTTTGATGGTGCTATTCTATATGGTGCCTTAGAAATAGCTCCAGTCCCAAGCACTAAGTCTATTTTGAAGTCCATCTCCCTAATTGGTGGCATCCCTGGGATCTCATCTGGAAACACATCTTGGAATTATCTCATTATTGGAACGTGATCTACGGACTTCTCTTTCTACACTCACATCTTGCACATGGCATAAATAAATAGGGTATCCCTTTCGGATACAAGAATAAAAAGTCATGGCTGACACAATACTAATTCTTGGTTTTGACACAACTTCCTGACAAGAGATTCTATTCCCCCTTGGCCCCCTAAGAGACACCTTTTGGGTATGATACTCAATTCTAGCCTTGTACTTGCTAAGCCAATCCATTCCCAATATAACATCAAAGTCAGTTAAGTCAAACTGAATAAAGTTTACAAGCAACTCAGTTCCAACAATATTAACCAGAATGTCTTGGTATATGGAGTTACAAGGAACTACCTCCCCAGAAGGAATTGTACTGTTATGTTGGTTTGATACAAAGATGAAGGTTTTAAGGCATGTTTATTCACAAAAGTAGTGGCTACAAAAGAATGAGATGTGATGAGTCTATTTTATATATATTTTTATTCCCCGTCCCACGATCATATTTGTGATTATTTGAGCTCTGCGAAGCTATTTTTATTACTAATATACGTTTTCTAGTGTTTTTGTAGAGTTGGTATTATTTTGTAGGAATTTGCTGAGTTAGGAAAATTTTCGATCTTATTAGACCACTACGAAGATGTTAGAGTCGGATCGTATTTTATGACCGTATATTTGAAGCCCAAGATTGAGCTAATTAAATTTGGTTCAGTGATTAAGGGCTCGGTTCGTTTGGAATACTAATTTTGTTGGTAGTGTAATACTTGAATATGGAGAAGAAGGAATTACAGCCCAAAGGAGAAGAGCCTAATAATTAAATCAGATTTGAAGATCACTCAAATGGGCGGATATCAGGGCTAGGCTACATCAACTATTGAGCTTGTGCATTCTTAGGCCCGGTTGCTTGCTCCTGTTGCTCATGATTGATGAATGTCGTTTTAAGAGTAGTAATATTAGTTTTAGTGGGAGTAGTATTTGACTTCCTCTAAAGTTCCTCTTCATTGTTTTATACAAACAATAGTAGTACGTAGGTCTAGAGGGGGTAGTATTAGTTTTAGTTTAGTTTTTTTCATTAGTTTAGCTGTTCATTTATTGCTTTAGTATTAAAATACTTCTGTTTACTTTTGTTTAATTTATCGTTTTCATGTTTAGTCTTTTATTATTATGTCTATTATACTTTATTTAATTGTTTTATTTAATTGCTTATTGTTTTTAACCATGCTTAATTTATTTGCTTTGCTTAGCTTAGATTTAAATATGTGTGAGTAGTTTTATTTCTAGGGTAGTGGGGATCCATAAATAATATGAAGGGGTAGTTTATTATTGTTGATTGTCAATGCTTGATTGATTTCCTATTGATTGATTTAATTCTATGCAATTAGATTAGACCTTTAATTGTATGAGTTATGCAATATTGATTCGAGATTCGAGAGATGAGAATTGATGTTTAGGTCTTATTTCAATAGGCATATTAATTTATAAATGGTTAAGTCACGATTCAAGAGATGCGATTTAATACCGGTAGATTAAGTCTGTGATTATAATACGTAAGTCAAGATGCCCCAGAATCAAAAAGTAAGTAAGCAGGTTTTGAGTTCACGAGAAAAAGTACCCGTCACAACGTTGACATTAGAGTCAATCTCGCTCTGGTTCATGACATAGATTCTTCCATTACTGGTCCTACCATTGCCATTGTGGTTGCTTCCTTGATAAGTCTATTTTTTATATATATTTATTCCCCATCCCAATGGTCATAATTGTGTTTATTTGAGCTCTACAGAGCTACTTTTGTTACTAATATGCGTTTTCTAGTGTTTTCGTAGATTTGGAATATTTTATAGGAAATTGCGGATTTTGAGCATTAACCTGGATTTATTGTAGCCACTACAAGCATTGGGGTAAGGTCGCATTTATATGACCACATTCCAAAGCCCGGGACCGGTTGGAGTCATCAAATCGGTGATTAAGGGCCCGGCAAAGAAGAAGAGTCCGGGGCAATGGACCATATATTCAGAACCCTAAGAGGAAATGCGAATTGGGCTAAGAAACGACCCAATTGAAGAAGTCCAAGCTTGCCCAAGAGCGAGCTCGGTAGGGCGAGCCCTCGCCCGGAAGGGAGAGGAAGAAGGAAGAGAATAGTTGCTCGCCCGAAGGCGCGCCCGGCAGGGCAAGCCCTCGCCCGAAGGCGCGCCCGGCCGAGCGAGATGCCGCCCGACCGGGCGCGTGTTTCTGAAGGAGTTTAAAGATATAATTTGTTTTATCTTTTTAGTTTAAGTATAAATACGTTTTATTTTAGGAAGTGAAGCACGTTTTTCACTCTCTTTACTAAAACTACGGATTATTATTAGTTTAAGCTTTTGTTAATACTCTTACTTTCTCTCTCTCTCTCTACACTTTCTCTCTCTACATTCTTGAGTTTTATGCAATTTATTATTTCCATTAATTTTGGTAACGATTTCTTCCCTCTTTACATTCAATAATTTAATTGCTTTGATTTAATTATCCTTTCTTTAATTGCTTTGCCTAGTTTAATTTTGATTATGAGTGAGTAGATTTATTTCTAGGGTTTGTGGGGATCCATGAGTAATACGAAGGGGTAATTTATTATTGTTGATTATTGATGATTGATTAATTTCCTATTGATTGATTTAAATACTATGCAATTAGATTTGGCCAGGTTCAATTGTATGAGTTATGCAATATTGATTCGAGATTCGAGAAATGAGAATTGATGTTTAGGCTTAGTTTCAATAGGCATGTTAATCTATAAATGGTTAGGTCAAGATTCGAGAGATGCGATTTAATACCGGTAGATTAATCATGTGATTATAATACGTAGCGACAGCCCTTTATAATTTGGTTAATTTATGCATTAAATGATTGATTGTCATTTTTACCCCGGAGTATTATTTATTGGTGAACCTATATCCTAGATCTTTTATTATTGATTGTTCCCTCGTTTAATTTGCTTAGTTTAATTATTAGTATAATTCACACATTACAAATTGGTTACTCTATAATTTAGATTATAATAATTAATTAGGAGTAAGAGAACATTGTTTACCTGTGGATTCGACCCTACTTCCCTATCTACTTTAGTTAGAGGACTTAGGAATTACTTTTGATTAGGTGATATGACTAGATCCTATCAAAATTTGGCGCCATTGCTGGGGTAACGGTTTTATTTTTATTTCTGATTATTTTTGTAGTCCAAATTATTTTCTTTCGTCTTAGAGAACGCAAGTTCTTTGGGACAGTTTCTCATACTTGTTTGTTTAGTTCTATGTTTATGCCCAGGAGTTCTAGATCATGTTACATTCCGTTTGACCCTGAAATTGAACGTTCTTTTCATAGACAGAAGAACCTTTTTAGACAGGTACGAGCTACTTCTGAGGGTATTATACCTTTGGAACCACCATCTGACTCTAGTGATACAGAAGTTTATTCAGAACTAGAAGCAGAGATGACGCACCAACCACCTCGAAAGCTAAGCGATTATTCGTAGCTGTCCCTGGCAGATTTCCCACATTTTGCTCCTACACCCAAGCGCGAGGGAGCACAGTTCGAGATTAAACCCCAATTTATCACCATGATCGAGAGAAAGAAATTTAGCGGAGCTAAGGGTGAAGATCCAAATCTTCACTTCTTGGATTTTTGCCAATATTACAATACTATTAGGCAAGCTGGGGTTATGTAGGACCAAATCAGGGAGATTCTTTTTCCCTTTTCTTTGTGTGGTAAAGCTAAATTGTGGTACAATGGTTTGAATAGAACTGCACTTGGTA